CAAAAGAGCACTGAAAAAATACTTGGCTGAGAGCTACACTGGTTAGCCTCACTTTTAGTTTTGCCTTAGTGGAAGTTTCATAAGGTATTATCTTCCATTGGCTTTTGCTTTGATCAGCTGCCTTTTACTACCTGGTTCTCTCAGATCTTGATTATTTATATGATTTATTTTTGTAGTAAGCTGTGTTCATGTACTGACTGTACATGTTACTAAATAAATAAATAAATGAATAAATAAATAATAAATAAATAAATAAATATATATATATATATATACACCGCCCGCAGGGGCGGACGTGCCCGAAATGGTTTAGCGGGAATTCATAACTCCTGCCCCATGTACCTAAAAAGTTTAAATTTGTTAGGATTAGAGCTTTTCGTATTAACAGTGGAACCTCGGCATTTTAATAAGCGGTGTAGGATATGACGGGATCGTAGATACTCGGTGACAGGAAGCAGCGACCATTGATAAGCGAAAGTAAGGGGCCTAAGAGAACATTAGTGTCACGACCGCTACACAGCAAGGTTTGTGACTCAATGCGAACACTTTGTTCGATATCATTTGCTGCGAAACCTGACCAATCGTCAGTTCTTTGAAGTTCTCAACTAATGATATCTCTGTAAAGAAAAAGGTCCATTGATAACGAGATTCGATAATGGTGTTATCATCACTCGAAACATTTGTGAGTACCGCCCAAGGCTTTGTTTACCCAACAGTTGAATCATTATTAGGAGCAAAAGATCGAGGCTTCCAATTAAAGGCGTAAGCACTGCCTTACACTGAATACCATCTGCACTGCTTTGCTAATCCTGTGTCAAACTTCGTGAACCCGAAAATAGATTTGCTTCAAAGAAGGAGTGGAGAGTTAGCCTACCACTGCAACACTACCAAAGAAGGAGGGAAGTTCGGCGTTATCATACAACCGACTGGTATCATATACACCATTAAAAAGATGAGGGCAAGCGGGATCTCGGTAGTGTTAGGGATAAACAGCACGGTACACGGAAAGCATAAGTACGGATTCGAGTCCTTCCGAAGCCGAAGTTCTGCCCACAAATCGCCTCACTTGTGAGACTGTCTATATAATTTGTTCAAATAAAATTTGAGATTTATACAAAGATCCAAAATATTTCTGAAAGGTCATAGTGACTTGTGTGAATAGTGTATTACGAAGCTCATAGTTTTGCATGCAAATACAAATGCAAACACTGCACAGTTTCGGCTGACCCGGCTCCCTCATAGGAATAGCACATCGCATATCAGGTCACTCAGAGGGTATCATGAAAAAGCCAGCTCCATTACTATTATATTATACATTACAATCGAATGCATGATGGCGTGTCCCAGTGCGTTTTTACCTTTGCTGTCGTTCCGTCCCTTACCACTTTTTTGCGGTACCTCTTAAAGTCCAGTGCTACGATGAGGCAAAGCCCTCTTTATTTATGCTGCCGCTGCGTACCTTAGTAATTGTTCTACCGCGATGCGAAAAACACGCTCTGATCTGGTCGTTTTGCATCGTCATAAATAATTTTCTCTCAACTGCGAACACCTCGGACTCAGTGTTGGCTATCACCTCATAGATTACCTAACGGTTGTTCTTAAGCGAAAAGAATAAGGGAACGTTAGCGTTTAGCTCCAATTAATTTCCTTTTCTAATGGAGACAGAATGTATCAGTTTTTAAGTATTCTTCTGTGCTTTGCTGACAGCAATGGATCTTGGAATATAGTTCAACTAGGGGTTATTGACGTCAGATTGCTTCTTTCGGATAACTTTCCTGAAGCACACCTTCATATAATGCAGTAAACGCCTCTCTGATGAGTTCGTGATGCGAGGATAATCATAAGGTTGTTAACTTTCGCATCACAAATGCGGCACAACATGACGCCGTCAAGTCATATGTTATCAATAGCTTCTAAGTTCAATGCAGGTATTGGTTGGATGCATCATCACATTGTATGCGCGGGAAATGACATATTATGTCAGATATGCACTAAGAAGCTAAGGGTAAGTAGGGACATATAAGTGGAAAGTTTTAAAAAACAGTGCCTTGGAAGCACAAGCGGGAACCGTGATTTAATAGTTGCAGGCCTGAATTTCACCAATAACGCAATCCTCTTTTCAATTGATTTTTTTATTCCGAAAAACAAAAAAAACAGCAGTGAGGGAAGAATTGAAAAGTGAAAAGTGAATCATTGGTCAAAGGAGCGATTAACCAATTTTACGGTGCTAGAGAAGAAAAACGCTTGACCTCGATATCTCATTACTCACTTCAAGAGGATAATGTAATCCATCGAGCGTGTGCTCGCTGCCGAAACGATCGTTACCATCCCAGTGAAAGTGAAACTGCTGAAGGTAATACCGTCCTTCCAGGTTTCCTCCTGAACATTGTAGACGAAATATGAAAGTTGCTATTTTATTCTTTCACAGCCAACCAACTGACTGTGTTATAATCGCGTGTTTGGGAGATCACGTGCACCTCCAAAAGCAGAAAACGCGCTCGTGTCGCCGTGCAGTCAGGCAAGAAGCTGAATGTATTCTTCAGGGCATTAATGATGAACAAACCAAGATTCTGTACGAAACTCGTAACTTAAGGAAACTTGGGAGATGGGCAGGTAAATCAGGGTCTGCGAGCTCGCTTCACTTCTGCCCTTTTTCTCTTTTTTGTCACTACAACTATATTTATCCGAAATGATCAACAATGCCTCTGAGTAGCTGCGAGCCAATGTATGATCATATTCTACCCTACTACATAATAGGCTGTCGAAAGAGCCATTGCACATTTTGCAATTTTTTTTTGAATTTGATTTTTCCTTCACAACAACTAACAATGAGAAAATATATGCGCCGTCATTATAGACAAGGTACTGCCATTCAGGCAACTTGCGGATCCCGTTTGCATAGAATTCCTGAGGTTTGAATGAGTAAAACCCACCGATGCGGCATAGACAGGTGATACTCTGTTGGAGCGAGTTCTGCTGAGTACGGTAGGTATAGTCGTGATCCGAAATCCAAGGCGCCCTGCGCAACCAGAGAATTCTTTCACAGTTTGCCATACCGTCCGATACCAGAGACGACTGGGCTCAGTGTGCGTGACAATGAGGCTGTTTCATTGCTGTTTTCGCAATCTTGCTCCCTGGAGTCTCAATGCTGCCTTGCCAGGGCCTGTGCTGATTTATCACCATCGAGCTATGGCCATTCTGGGTCAGAGGGAGCTGATGCGGCCTACTCCTAACAGTTTGGGCATGGAGTCGCGTCCTTGAATTGCTATTTATATCTACCCATTTAAATAGATACTAAAGAAGAAGAATGATGAAGGTCCTCGCGCAGAACTCCATGGAGCAGTAGAAAGTACGGGCGAGAGATTCTGGACCATACATCGGCATCTGATGGTAGTGACTGAAGCGTGTGGCAGGGCGATAAGATGCTCTGCCACACGCTTCAGTCACTACCATCAGATGTCGGCTTGTATGGTTCGAAGTCTCTCGCCCATATTACTCTTCATAGGCGGATATTCCCCGGAGCAAGTCCTGGTCCTTAGCCCGCAACACAGTGAATGAGCGTGCTATGCGCAACTCTACGCATAAAGGAAGATTCCAATCGCGACTTCGGGTGGACGGATAAAGGCTACTCAACCGAAGTTTTGTACGCGAAGCGGCAAGTCGGTCAAGATGAACTCTCAGGTCAAGATGAACCAAGCGTGACCGAACTTTGCATTAGAACACATGATGGAATACTAGAAATTGGAAAAAAGCAGTATTATTATGTCATATAAGTCAAGATAATTGAAGCCGGACATGCTACAAGCCTCTTGTCACATCCTCCCACCACAAGGTGGTAAGCCATTGGGAGGACTAGATATCCATTTGTCAATCTCTCCTTCTTCACCCGCACCGAAAGGACTCTGTGGGAGACCTGATCGAAGAGAATGAGAGCTAGATCCTCCACGATTTTAACACGCGCTGTGCCATGTGGATCCTTAGAGAAGAAGATCTACTAACACAAGCCAAATCGGACCTCATTTCCAAGAGGTGTTTCTCCTACTACTTTGGGATCGCGAGGATTGTTGCATTACGAGCTATTTTGGTAAGTTACTGGAATACTGTTCTCCAACTCCCGGCTCCCTTACATTGCATGCTCCGTCTACCAATTATTACGTCCCCTCGAAGTCTTCTCTCCTTCGCTCAAAAAAATTGCCATCCTTGACTGTGAAATCTTGAGTGTGAATTGATGATGTCGAAAGGGGGATAGGCGATTTTTTTCGAGTCCCTATCCCCTCGCCACTGAACCATTCCCCAAACTACGCATAATTATTTATAGTGTATTTATCGAGCGTCCCATCCTTTGTAGCGAGTCAGTGTAGACTCGCAAACAGATTTCAGCAAAACTTATCTTTGAAAACGACATTTGGGAGAAATCCGACCAAATGCGAAAAGTGAGCTGCAGAGAATAGTGGTGCTGCCTTTTCTCAGCGTTAAGAACTTGAATTGGAGCTGTATTAATAGAGATCACAGACAAGCTAGAACGAAGACAAATGTTGAAATATATGTATAACAGTAGTTGAAGGCGATATTTTAAGATGTCAAAAGATGCCGAGAAAACAAAGTTCTCCAGATAATTAATGTGTGTCGTATTTATCAAGCAAGGTTGATCGCGACATGTACAAAAGAGGCATTGGGTTTGCCCGTGGATGAACGGAACCAAGGTAGTGGATGGTCTTATTCCACACGCCTGTTATGACTGATATGACCTAGAGGCATAATTCACAGTAATTCTGAGGTACCTATTTTGAGGGAAATAATGGAAGCCATGGTGCCAAATAGCGAAGAGAGCGCGAGAATGTGCATATATTGAAAACAGGGCTTTGAACCAGTAGCAAAAAAGAGGCTCGTACGATATTGACGTCTGTTTCGTCTGGGCGTCTTTCATAGACGAAGATAAACGAAGATATCATCTTCAAGCCACACGAACCTGTTATATATGGTCTCTTGCTCCACGTTTGAAATCCCTGGATGAGTTCTGAAAAGAAAAGTTGATAGCTGTCGTGGCGATGTGTTCATTCTTCTATGCTCATCAGTTTCAGTGACGAAATTGATCATTCAGCAGAACCTTTGGCATATTAAACGGCTGGACAGATACAACCTCTTTATAGAACAAAAAATCTAGTCCAAAAATTCAGTTCATTCAGTAAAAGGGAAAGGGCGATCAGTATGTGGCTCCGTTCATAACTGTCGCCTTTATAAACGTTTTTCACCTGTATGGCCGTTGTTTTCGGCCTCGATACTTCCTCTAGCATCGTAGTTGTGGAACTCGAGATGGCTCCAATCAACAATTACTGCCTCATCTAAAAAACAAGATGATATTTTGTAAGGTACAAGGTAACATATACCCAGTTATGCCATGCCAGTCGGATCACCCGACTATCGAAAGGCTCTCCTCCTCATCGTGCAAGGTTTGGCTGTCACCCACGTCTCTTCCGAATTTGGACGCTCTAGTTCAATAGAACAGTAGGTATGAATTTCCGGCCGAACTCCCACGCATCCACCCATCCACCCCT